CCTGGCACGGGCAGCTGAGCACAGGGGGCTGAGCTGGGCTCGGATTAACATCCCCCCACCAAAGCGCTAACAGCAGTGCAGTAAGGCAAAAGTTTTAAATGTCCAGAAAGAAGGAAGAGCTGTTCACACAACTGCCTGGGCACACTCATCTCTCAGTTGCTCTGTACCAGGCGCAGATTAGTTTTGCTGTCGTCACATTCCCAGCCCTTTGGATTTTGCCTGGGATCAGTGGGGAAGTGGGCCGTCTGCTGCCCCGACACCAGCGAGAAGGTTTCCACACCACGGTTGCCACCGCTCAGTGCCACCATGCAACGGCAGAGCAAGAAGCCAGCCCAGCGGGTTCACCCCAGTGGGTCACATTCACAGGGTCAGCAGCAGCAGCAGCTCTGAAGTGAGCCAGTCTGGGCACAGACGGAGGGGAGCCATGGGGGCACCAAGGGGCAGAGCTTTAACCGAGTCCTCTGTGCACAGCCTCAAGATACTGCCACTGTACTTGCAAAAGGGTAACACAGGGACGTGCATATCCCATAGTGTTAAGCAGCTGTGGAACACCTGGAGCCCAACAACTCCACACAGCAGTGGCTGAGGCTCCTTCTGGATTTGGTCTGGGGCCTTAAAGAGGAGATTTTGACACCTCCTGGTCGCTAGCCCAGGCAGGCAGTTTGCTCATTCCACTTCCAGGCTGCTGCCCCAAGCCATCACAAGGGTACAGTGAGCCCTGCGCTGCCAAGCTCTGTCACCCTACAGAAACAAGGGTTAGTGGGAGTCTATCATCGCCACAGTAGTGTTCCTTCTTGAGACCCTGTAATGCCTCTGTGCAGCTCCTGACACAAAAGTGTCTGTGTTGCTCCAACAGAACACAGCAGTTGTTAGTTACCCAGCACCCACCCTGGCTCCTGCTTTCACCCCAATTCCAGTTCTTACTAGGGTCTGAGAGCCAAGATTATCGCCTGTGGCAGCAGCTTCAGCTGTTCTCCTTGCAACAGGTCATTCATCCTTGGTCACCCATGTGTTTCACAAGCACCCACTGTGCCTGAGCACATGCGATTTTTCCAGATCCCACAACAGCAGGAGAACCAAGAAACGGCATTTGCACCCAGGGCTTAGACACAAGGTACCCAGAGATCGCCTTGTGCCAAGCAGGAGCATGACTGGTCAAAGCAGTGAAGGGGAAATTTCAAGGAGAAGCAAACATCTCCAAGAAGCAGTGATAGTAAAAAGTAAACAGTTCATGGTCCGAGTTCTTTCTGGGCCAGAGATTCAGCCCTGGCGTTAGCTCTGACACTTTCTCCGGTTCCTGCTGGACTGCCCAGAGTTGATGGCTGAGGTCGCAGTGAAAAGCACAGCTGAGGGAAGAAGGGAGATGCTCCAACGGAAGCACTGCAGCTCCTACTCGTAGCTCTTACAGTCTCTGCACTGAGCCCACAGCTCAGGAGGGTACTCTCAGAAAAACCTCAGCCCTTTCTTTCAGTAGGTATCATTCCCAAAGTCAGAGCTCATTCTGGGAACCTTCCCCACCCACCCCACATACCCCAAGCTTCGCATGTTCCTTAGAGTGGTCCATGTCCCAGGGAATGGTGGGCACAATCCTTATTTCAAAACAAGCATGGCCTCTGTCCCATCTTGCCTTGTCAAATGGAGTCCATGAGTGAGGTAGTACTCCCGCCGGAGGAAGGCATAGAAATAATCCGAGATGAGCAGGATCTGCAGAAGTGAGATGTTGACACACATGAGTGATGCTTCAGAACAAGGAATAAAAAGGGACATGTGTTTGTGACGGACCCTGAAGGGATTTAAGAACTTCTTAGGCTGTTCACCACACCTTGCAAGAGGAGACACTCTGATCCTGTGAACACTCCTTGTCCATTGCTCTGCAGTATTAAGCCAAGGGAGAATTAAACTAATCTATTTCTTGCACTACCAGGGTGTACTCACAGACGTCTTCACTAAGGAGACAGCAGCTCCATAAACGGGTCAAACTATACGACAATGGCATATATGACAATCTGTGCCAAAGCTTTACAGACCTTCTCACCCTCACCCACAGGACTCCTTCCATGCAAGCACTGTCATGTAGTTCCACTCCAATGCTGAAAGTCTGACTGCTATTAAGCACTTTTCAATTGTAATTGTTTTTCAACTGCTATTTCTGCTCAGCAAGGGTAAGAAGCTTGCAGACACTGGCAGGAATACCACAGCTCCCCAGGTCGGCCTCAGCAAACAGCAGCTTTAGCAGTTTAACAAAATAATACTTACCAGGCTAAGGGATGAAAAGAAGAGCTGAAACGTCAAGGCTGTGGCTTCACAGCACAACATCCAGGAGCAACACCAGATAAAAGCACCTCTTCCACCCCCATCACTTCTCCATCTCCTTCCTGCCCCTGTGCTGTCATGGCCTCTCGGTGGGGCAGCCGACCCTGTGTACATGTTTGCACACTGTCTCTCTTTCAGTGGTGCCCAGAGCTGGCCATCCCCCCCATTTTCCCCTGACCCAGGTCAGAGCATGCTGCCACACACACAGATCTTGGCACCGTCCCGTGCTGCCCGGGAGATGAGGGTACCTTGGGCTGGCATTGCCACCGGCCATGTTGTAGTGTGAAATCACAACTGAAGCACCTTTGTGACTGAAGTGCCAGAGAACCACAGTGAACATGGACACCTGACGTGGAAATCGCAAGGTCCCTCCCCTCCTCAGTCCCACTTTGGTTGTACTGAGGCACCACAGTGTGACTGCTCCCTTGCCTAAAAGCACTGAGAACACAAGAGTGAGTCTCCGTGGTTTTTCTAAAGCAGTCACCTCGGGCAAGCTGCCTCTGCAGGGGCAGGATGGGCTGTTGTAAGCTGGTCCAGCAGGGCCATTTGTCACTTAGCCTCTTGGAGTGCCACCTTTCCCCAGGAGTGCTGACCTCCTCCATCTGGAAACAGCATCACATAACTAGAGTGGAAAATCTTTTCAGTGCCAGATCAAGCTAGTAGTTCTTGTTCTAATGTCCAGATGCCACTTAATGCACCGCTTTGGCACAATGCCTCACCTGAAGTATGCTGCAGTGATAAGGGGAAGGAGGGAGGGAGAGTCAGGCTCTCAGTCAGAGCCTGCGTGGGTTACTGCTAAATACAGCTGCTGCGAAGAAGGCTCAGTGGCAGGATGGGAAGATATGGAGGACCGGGGGGGGACTGAGGGGAAGAGAAACAAGGCTGCAGACTGCTGATGTCAGAGGAGAAAGTGCAAAGGAGAACAGACAGAGAAGGGTAGAGGTGCTCAGGGAGACTGAAAACAGCCGTGCTCATCCTGTCCGCTTGTTTTGCTGAGCATCATGGCTGACTACTGACATGCTGTATCAATATGGTTGATTTTACTTTTAACTAAACTTCTCTGCTGATGTCTTAATGTGAAAAGAGCTGAGGTTAGTGGGGATGAGGGGTAGTTCTTTCTCACAAGGAAATCGAAAGCAGATTTTTGCTCTGTCTGCATTTACAAAGAGCACAAGACCTTGCAGGATCTGCTATGACTTTCTCAAGTAGGAAATAAAATCAACACCTGCAACCTCTAATTAAAGTTTTAGTATTCCTTTCATTCCATAGCAAGACATGTAGAGAGCTAACAAACCACTCCCAATTTCCTATAAGCCCTTCTTAGTAGTATCTCTAAACTCCCTCTCACCCCACTCACTGCATGGAGTCTCTTTTTGCTTTTATAGAATCCATTTATCAAGGGGGGGATGTACAAGCAGGTGATTTTCAGCCCATGGCAAAACTGCTCCTCTAGTTTTAGGAGAAGCAGACAAACATAAATGGTTGAGGCACATTCAGAATAAAGGCAACTTTAACATGAAATGAACGTTCTGCTCACCCACATGTGAAACTGTCTCAGGGCTTAGGGACATAAGAAGTAGCACAGAAAAGAGGAAGGACTTAGAAAAGGTTGTAGCAACTGTGTACATTGAATCCCATCCTTCAGGCGTGCTAAGCACTGTTTTCCCTAAGGCCAGCGAAAGTCAGGTATCTGGAATGGCCTTGAGGGAAGCAGTGAGAGCAAGCCCTGGTATGACTGGGCCCCTGCATGTGCCCACAACCCTACATTTCAGTGAGGTATAATGCTTAGAAAAATTGGTGCCATATCACTGTGTATGGGCAGCTCTCATTTGCCTGTTGTCTGGCCCCACTGCTGCTGCTCTATAGTTTTTTCCATTTCCCTTCTTAGTTCACCTTCTCTATTCACATGTGTTCTGCCCCACCAAGATGCTTTTCTTCTACTATCAAGCAACAGACTATGTAACTTGCAGTACAGTCCAGCTGGATTGTTAAGCTATAGCTCAAATACTACAAGAACTCTTCCCCATTAGCGTGCCAGAAGGTGAGGACTAAGCAGATTTCAGGTGGAGCAAGGAGAGGCAGGAAGCTGCTATGCAGGACTACACAGGATGCAAAGAGCCAGACACATCCTGCAGAACTCACTGTTGCTGACAGGATACCCAGTTCAGTGACGAACCCAAAGTGCAGCCTTGTTTGCCTCGCTCTACTAACCTGCCCTATGTTGAAAGTCAACGTGATGGCATAATAAAAATTGGAGTTGGCACTTCCTGCATAAATCCATAGATGCCACAGAACAGGGAACAGGAGGGAGCAGACAATGAGCACACATGACAGGATGAAGATGTTCCGGAGGACTGCAAAAGAAAAGCAAGCCATTAAAATGATGCATTATTGAGCAGCCAAGCTCACACAACCAGCTATGGTATTTAGGGTACATGCAGTGGAGGAGAGGCACTTGCCAACACATACTTCTCTCCAATAATCTTTTACAGTTTGCTTTAATAATTTCCCGGGTAGCTTTTAGAAGAAATCCACTATATTTCCTTTTAAAATAAATACTTCTGCCTTTGCTTGAGTGTGAAATCCTCATTTGTAGCTCTTTCCTTCTAGGTCCTGCCTCCAATCACTCTTCCTCAGAGGACTTTGGTTTTTTGGTGTCTACACTACAGTAACTAGCAGTTTTGAGAAAGGCCTTTCCACCAGCATCACGATTCAGAGAGCAGAGCACGCCATTTCCTAGCTTCCTCAAGCTGACAACAAAGGAAAAAAATGAACCTGCGGGCCATAGGAAAAGAGATAATTTCTTGGGAGGTGGTAAGGAAATGAAAGCACCACAAAAAGAGCGAACTCATATAGGCCAAACATGTTGACAAGCACATGACCTCGGGAGGTGCAAATGTGGCCATAATCCATTAGTCTGTGTATGTGTCAGATGGACAAAAAAACAAGCATAACTTTGTCTAAAAGAGCTTAGGAACTACTAGGCCAGAAAAGATTTTGTTTTCTGTGAACTATTTATGCCTGGTCTTTGGCAGCAGTATTATAATTCATCCCGGCACTTGTGTTGCTGTGCTTGGCTATAGCTCAGCCAATGTCCCTGAGGGTAAGTGAAAGACTTGCGATCATTCTGCAGCTGAAGGGAGCTATCTGATATTTTAAGGGCATCGTCACATCCAAACCTGTTCACACCTATCTTTTAAAACTTCTTGTTCAGTAGGTGTATTCACTCACTGTGGGGTGGGAGCATGTGACAGACGACTGTCCCTCTTACTGGTCACAGGCCCCTTATCTGCATGCGTGGAACGTGCAACTGAACTACGCTGAATCAGGATTTCTCAGAAGTGTATCACCTGCTATGGCTGCGACATGCTCAGGGCTAGCCTGGGGCTTCCAGTCCTGTTTTATCACAGCTGCTTTGGCCTTAGTTTTCCTTAGTCTGAAACTAATAGAGCAGATGGTCTCCAAGTCTCTTGACTCCTGATATGTCTCCTGACATCAGGCAGGCTAGCTGTCCATAAACACACTTAGCCTGTGTTAGAGAAGACTGCAGTAAAAGGTCCAGATAACCTGGCAGGGCTGGTAAAAGCAGCTGGTTTAAGCAAGAAACACCAGGAAAAACACAGTGCTTTCAAATCTCCCCAGTGTAGCAGGTTCTAGAGACTGAGTCTGAAAATCATCAGGAAGGTCTCTGGTGATTTAAAGAGTTAAAGAGGTTCTTTATGAAGCATTTAAGAAAAACTGGACAATTGGAGTAATTCAGTTACTTCTACTCTAAGCAAACAAGCAGATGCAAAACAAAGGAGGACTGTAAGGTGCAGGATTTTAAGGCTGGGGGACTCACCAACTGCAGGAGCAGCGTTCAAATTACACAGCCTTAAATGGGAGTGAAGCATTTGAAGGATGGATGTACTTTAAATAAGTCACAACCCCTGTGCAGGACTGTAAAAGGTTCTTACAAAAAAGTTAATCCTCAGAACAACTTGGAGAGAGGGGGAAGATAAGGTACAAGTGAAAATTCCCTCCTCAACGAATTTCAACCCTAGTCCTAAAGACACGTTAGAGACTATACTATCAGAAAAATCAAGCCTCCTTCCAGACACCCCAAGGAGGCCAAAGGAGCCTGCGGACGTGAGCCTGGTTTGGTTTAGTGGTGACAATTATTGGACAGGCCCTTTCCCATTCCAGATAAGGAATAATCAAACACAAAGAACTTACATCTGTAAAGGTGGCTCCAGACTGGAAGGAAGGCCATGTACAGTGCAATGTCTCCCACAGTGGGATAGGACTTGAAGATAGAAATGATTGCGATCTGGACAAACATGAAGAACACAGGGTGTTCTCTAGAAGACAAAAGACACAAAGGATAAGAGGATGCAGTAGGGTCTCTGGAAGCTGGAAATAAACATCAGCAAAGGTGCAAATGTACTGTTGGACAGGCTCAAAGAGGCTGTTGTACCCCTGCTCTCTCCAAACACGCCTCTGAGTGCTGGGTGGGGTAGACCGAGCTGTTCTGCAGAGAAGCAGTATAAGGAGATGCACATCTGCTCACTGCCCTCACAGTTGGTCATCTGGGCTGCTCTTCCCCAGCTCTCTCTCCTCCTCTCTGAAGGTTATTCGGACAAGCCCCATAGTTATCCCTCTGGTGTGTCATGATGTCTGTATCCATGCCAAGTCAACAGGATAAGCTCACTGAGAATCCAGGCATGTTAATGGGCGTTCTTATCAGAAAGAAGGGTAACAGTGTCAGTGCCGCCCGCTAGGAATGTTCCCAAGTTTTCATTTTTTTTTCTGACAATACAGAACTTGAAGTTCCAGCCAAGAGTTCTTGCTTTCTGACTACACTGGCTTATGCTGCCAGGGAGCAGGCACCTATACACCCTAAATTTCTGCCCTCTCTTTTGATGCCTGTAACACATCTGTTGCATAGCAGAGCCCAGCTCACTTTATTTAAAAGGAATAAAGGTTGAAACATTGGGAAATGAGGAGGCTATGCCCTGTTTAAAAAAGTATTTTTTTCAGGCTTGTAGATCCAGACATCTGATGCCAGCCTTATAAGCTTCCACCAGACAACTGAAAGTAAAAAAACTAGCAGAGAAACGTACTTACTTTAGCTTTATTGCCAAGGGAATGGTGTAGAAGAACACGTTAATTTGAAACACGCATACAAAGAAAAGACTAAAGTGTTCAAACATCTCTGCAAAGAAGTACCAGAAAAGGCCAATATTGGGTGTCAAATCTGGAACGGAAAGGCTGAAATTTGAAAAGAAAAGTCAAGGTAACATTTTTAAATTGTTGTTTTTCACTGCCCTGCTTCTGTTACACTGATTAATCATTGTGTGCTACTGGATAGAGGACCTGTATTTTAAATCCGTGGAAGAGAAATCAAGGGGGTGAAGACCTGGAGAGAAAAGGGGCTAACCCCTCCTTATGCCCCAGCAGGATTTAAACTGTTCCCAAGCACACATTTCTCTAGACACAAAAATTTCACAGCCATAGTAGCTCAATGATCAAGTCTATTTCCAATTGACTCAGTGGAAACCATCTCCTGTCTTCTCTAATTCTTGCTGTTATTTAATTAACAGAAGTTGGCTAATGCCTGCTCTCCTCCACACACTTTCTTCTCTTGCATTGCCACTAAAATCACAGATCACACACTCCTTAGGACAGGGAGCGGGGCATCTGCATGTGATGCACAAGAAACAACACAGTCGGGGATAGACAGAAAAAACAGTAAGAAACCTTATACTTACATAAACCCATAAACAGATGGGATAAAATCCCAGGAATTGAGGAGGAAGAAGGAGAGGCAGATGATCACCACTAGGCTGCACAGGTACAGGGCTGCATATTGCATGGTGTAGAGCCAGAAGCTTTTACTTTTCAGTTTTACTGGTATGAACTGACGCTGAAAATGAAACATAAGCAGGCAGATATCCTTCATCAGGTGGAAAGCCACAGGGAAGCTTGAGTTTTCAGAACATAATTTTAAATTCATGAAAGAAAGCATCAAACGCTGGCACTATGGCACTGGAAGGAGCAGCTCTCAAGCACAATTTGCTTGATGTTCTTCACTTTGGCCAATTAAGTCATACATATTGCACATACTTCCAGAACTGTGTTTGAAAATACAGTAGCTAAGCTGGTAATTTCTCCTTGCAGCATGTCAAGCCTCATGCACTCACTGTAAGATTTACACACACCTCCTCACAGCTACACTTGTATCTTAGACGTTCGCAATACTGTACCGCTGCCTGCCTTCCACTGCATGAACCCACACCAACTGGGTGACCAAGTGCCCTGCTCCACGACCCACCACCCTGTGATGCTGGGCCTCCATCACATGGACTGACACTTGGGCTCTGCTGAAATCAGGGAAAGAAGACATCCAGTGGGTTCCTAAGCACAAAGGAGCCAGTCTAAAAGGTTGCCTTCTCAAAGCCAACTGCTGCAGTCCTGCCACTGCTACATGTCCTGATAGGTCAACCACAAGTCCTTGTCACATAACATGACATATGGCTCTCTCTCCAAGAGGCCCCCTGATTGCATTTGTAAAGACAAATATATACACAGGGGCAAACACCTTTGGGAATTGCTCAGAGTTGTGCAGCTCCAAGTCAGTAATGTAGCTTTTCCATTTGGTACTAGGGTGTACACTGGCAGGAGATGTACGAGAGCCAGCTCTAACTGATGTGGGCTCTGTGTAAAGCATGCTCTGTTTTCTCATAGTGTGTTTAACACCACTTGCTGGAACAATGTAAGCAAGTTTACCAAGGATTTTTTGGCAGGACAGATTGGAGAGTGCTAGAGAAAAGATATTTAATTCTGTAAAAGAATGCAGGGAAGTTCATTTACAAATCTGGATAAAAGAATACACGCTAGCATGATCCCCTTTAATAGTTGCAAATTAGGCATTCACGTATCAAAGCACTCGTTGTTGCTTGTGAACACAATGCTTGTACTTTACTGCCACTTTACTTGACTAAAGTTAAAAGAGAACAAATGAGACCAAAATACAAAATATATAAAGTAAATGCTCCTAAAAATTATCAAACTGAAAAAACAACACTGACTCTGCAGAAGTTCTTGTCTTGAAAGAGTAAAAATAATTAAAATTCTGAAAAAAAAAAAAAAAGAGACATTCATGTCAGTCATGGAAAGAAAACGGACTAGAACTGACTCTCCATTCTCTTTTAAAGCTCAGAGATTTGAGAATAGGCTGTAATGAACCTGTAGTTAAGATTAGCTATAAAAATCATGAGGGAGATAGGAGAGAAGCAATCAAGAAAGACTGGTGAAACACTCAACAGCATGACTTTCAGAATGGCAAAAATAATAAAAATGATCACGAAGTGATCTGTGAATGGAGGCAAGAGTCCTCTGCTAGCAGTCACAGCCTCACCTTCCTTCCATAGCAGAACAAGACTAGCAAATGACCAGTTTTCATTAAGTGCATCATAATTTGGACTCTCGGTTAAGTCATCAGCACAAGAGCTAAGAGAGAGGCCAGAGGGAAGCATGCAGGCAAACCGGTGATGAATCCACTCGCTAGCAAAGAGCTGCCTCAGCTTTAAACCCTACCCCTGCCTGCAGATATGCCTACCAGCCTGCTGCTGGACTAGTTTTGCCTGGACCAGTGTCTGCCTGTTGACGCACCGTGCACCCATGAATGATCAAGGTCAGTCCCGCTGGAATTCAGGGGCCCTGTTAATGGGGGCGGAGAAAGGACAAGGGCAACCAGTCACTTTCACAAGCACATGCCTTTTGCCATTAAACTCCAAATCAGCATTTTTGAGTTTGAGTGATTCAATCATACAGCTGCTCATTCAAACACAGCTCAGCAACCCATGTCAGTGCAAAGGAAATTCTCCAAGTCTAAAATCCTCATTGCTGTTCACATGACACAAAGGATAGCACTTATTTTGGGCAAACTAAACATCATTCCGTAGATGAATTTCTGCTCCCTTCTCTCTATGCACAGGCATCCCCACTCAGGCTTCAAACTTTCCACGGCTTGAGGAGAGTCACTTTTTCCAGAAATTCAGGACTTGCCCGACTCCCTGCACAGTTACAAAAAGATGACAGGTACCAACCTGTAGAAGGTAAAGGAGTGCTGGAGCAAACAATGTGAGAGGGTAGAGTGACTGGTATGTTGCTAAAGCCAGGAACACAGCACTGAGGAAGGCACTACCTGTAAAGAAAAAAAAATAATGTTCATTTGTAAGGAACATTTACTATAAACAGCCTTACAGACAAGAAGTCCAAACTGGAAGAAATGCATAACCCTCTGCAGGGCCTTTACAAATATCAGACCACCACTTAAAGGCATTTTTAGCAGAACGTGTCCTGGAGAGTGTTCTTTTCTTAACTACATTTTGAATGGAGAATGACTCATACCAAGGTGATTGTCCCACAAGAAAGAACCACTGACTGGTTCTATCTCCTATCATGCACATATGGAAAGAGATTCATGTCATTCAGTCTATATATAGACCACGCTGGCTGCTGTTTATGCATGGGAATGCATTCACTTCAGTCATATCCACATGAAACAGCTGTTATACTCATATTGGGCATGCTGGATAACCTTGTCACCAGAATGTGTTAGGGCCCTCAGCAAAGCTCTGTGAAAGAGAGCAAGTGAAAGTCTGCAGTTGAAGGAATGAAGATTACAGATACCAAAACTGAGGATTAGCACAGCTTTTCCAAGTGGTCTTAAAAATATGAATGCCTTTATTGAGGAAGCTTTACTTGAGGTGTCTCAGGTTGAGCTAAGTGCTGAGTACTCACATTGCCAAATTACCAACACCAGAAATCAAGTCCAAAAGGTCCCAGGTTAAACAATAAAAGTACAAGCACCCAGTACAGTAGCCTGGTTATAGCTTTCAGTCTTATGTCACTTGATGGAAGTCATCTGTAAAGATATAGCTCAGATAGCAAGAATCCTGACTCAGTGCACTGCACTAATTGTCAGCCTACTGACATCAAACACTCAGTAAGCTTCTCTCTGCTTCCACCCTTTGAAAGAGAAAATACAGAGTTACCTGGTGATGAGCCTCCTCCATTCTTCAACTACACTCTCCTAGACAGAAACCTCCTTGTCCTCTATTTTATTGAGTGTTCAATTTTGCACAGAAAATCACAGTCATAATCTGATATCCTCTCTTTGCACACTTTAAAACCTAGAGGCTGCCATATTCCCAATCAGGGAGAAAACACAGGGGTACTATTCAGTATCAGTGAACAGTGAAAAATCAGTTTAACTAAAAGGACTCCACTTGTTTTGCTTTTGCAAATGCTTTTAAATCAAAACCCCTCCTGCCTCAGTTAATCAATAACTGGAGGAAAACTTTCTTATGGAAACACTAATAAAAACAATCCATATCCGCTTTCTTCACAATGTTTGGGTCTGGTTGCTGCTGGAGACAAGAGATCAGACCAACCTTTCCTCTGATCCAGCAGAGAACTCCAAAAACTTACGCGACTGGTACAGATCACATATGCTAAATGACTAGCACTGGGGAGTCATAAAATAAACAGAAACCTGGCATTAAGCACAAAATGAACAAAACAGCTATTCTGTCATAATCTGCTCAACTGTGCCAGTATGGGTCTCTGGTTACTGTTTCTGCTTCCCCAAATCTCAATTAGCTAATTTGAAACCAAGCTTACAACTGTGAGGGAAAGTCAAATAATAGCTGCAGGCAACTGCTTGCTTTTGAATAAAAGTTCAAAGATACACGTCGAAAATAAATTGTATACAACACTTCAAGTGCATATTCATGTACAAAAGAGCAGAAGAGGATTATGTCCTCCTACACACAAACACGTATTTCTTCATAAACAGAAAACTATCTGAAGTCATCCAGGAAAAGGAGTCAGTTTTTAGAGATGAAACTTCTAGGTACACTGAGGTGAAAGGAAGTTTTGACTTGACTATAAAGTCTCTTGATCTCGTGATTTCAGGTTTGAAACTTTGACCTTGCTCCAGTCCTGTTTCTCCTGTGTTTCACTGAAATCTTTATAACAATCATATCTGTAAAGTTCCACCTTGATTTAATCTCTGCTACTTTTCTAATCATTATAGAAAATCATAAAGAATAATTTTTTCTTCATTGCGTTACCTTTTATTGTAGCTAAAATGAAGAATGCAATGACAGTATTGTTGATGGCACAGGTGGACTTTGCCACACAAGACATCACAGTGTAGGGGTTTAACAGATAGCTGAAAAAGACCAAAGCTCGAGTTACATTCAAAGGAGACAGCATCTAATTAAAGTGATGTTCAAAGGAAAAACAGATGCACTTTGCCATTTCTTTTTGTTTATTTACATTTGATGGGATCCTCTCATCACCAAAGTAACTCAGCTGAACATGTTCTTCGGTCTGGAGCAAAAAACAGATCTTTGGACTACAGCCTTAGGCACAGTGGCCACAAGGAGCACACTGGAGAAAAGACGACAGCTGGGAAGATGTTTAAAATGCAAGTTCTAGCCTAGAAAATGACGACCAAAAATGTTTCTTGCTTTGCAGAAACATTGTGCATTTTTTCAGTCAGACCTAGGATTATTGGGTCCAAACTAAACTCCTTCTGCTACTTATATCTACTGGGTCTGAAGAAGTAATAAAAATAAGAAGACAGTATGACGGAAACAAATCCTTAGACATTAGCAGAGTTTCTTCCAACCCAATTGCACCTGCACACTCCTGCTACAGCAGAGCAATTATTTATGTTCACAATGGCATGATCTGAGCACAAAACCTGCCAGCTATGAAAATCTGGCATATTTTAATTGGAATTACGGAAAGACAGCAAACTCTGAACACCTTTACCTTCCAGAATTCAGCCACACTTTAGTTAGTAAGGATGCCAGCTCCTTTTGGAAATGAGAATTACAATAATCCCATTTAACTAGGTTCAAAGCACAGAAAAATGTTTGGAAGGATTACCAATACAATAAGCAAGATAATATGCTACTGATCAAACTTGCTAATAACTAAACCAACCATCAGCGTGAGTAAACAAGGTTGATGATTTCCTAATTATCTCTTTACATTTTTCCTACTTCTCTGAGTCCCAGCCTGCCTTTTTCTGTGTTTCCAGAGAGAGAATCTACAGCAGGATAGGTACAATTTAATGCCAAATTTGCTGTGGTAATGTGCAACAATGTCAAACACAAAACAGTCTGCAATTCACTGACTCTACCTTTCTCACCCTGGGGAATTTATCATTTTACAAAATTCATATGAAAATAAGAAAAAATAACATCTAATGGAGAACTCTCTCTGGCATAGATAATTTCAGATATTCAGATAATAATTTATCAAAACCCCAATGAAAAAAATAATTCTTTGACATTAAGTACCTTGCTTGTATATTATTTTAGTTGAAGCTTTCTGAAGTAAAGAAATAGTTTAGTTACAGAGGAACACCAAGGCATAACATTATTAAGATGACAACCTGATAATATCTTTGAATTGTTGTAACCAAATCCAGGATATTCAAGTTGTGATATTCAACAACGATTTTGTCCAACTGCTAAAAAATTCTCCTAACTTTTCCAAAAAGACACCTGAGCTATTTGGGAGGCATAGAATCAATTTTGATAACATTAGCAGACAGGCAAAATAAATGGGAGCGTGATCTGTGCAGACACAACATTCTTGCTGCCAAATTAATGACGTTATGCTGTTAAGCCTGTCTTAGAGGGCCCAAGTGAATTTCCTTGCTGCCAACAAACATTTGGAAAAGCATCTGCTTTTTACTTTCAAACTGAATATTCAGGGCTAGGGGGATTTTTATGTATAATAGGAAATTCAGAATTTCTGGGAGGAAAAAAAAACCAAAAAATCTTCAACAAATGCTGAAGCCCCAAATCAGACAAATAAAACCCAAAGGGAGCTGCAGAACCAAAGCAGCCCACTGCAGCCTACAAGAAGCAATACTTACAATAGTGCTACCTTGAGGGGGATGTAGTGCATTTCCATGGGCGTCTGGATGAGTTCAGCCACATCTGGTGCATATTTATCCAGTTCTATTAGGAGCTTTTGCTTTTTGAACTGAACAAGGGAGAATGACCAAAGACTGTCAGATGAGGAAAGTAATTATTTCTTATTACTCGGTATTTCCATTACTGTAGAACATATATGAGCCCGAGGCGTGCGCCAAAACTCATGTTATGTGAGGTGTTGTACAAACAGAACAAAACCCCCTCTCTTTTCCTAAATACTTGACAATTGAAGTGGAAGTCAGGAGAAAGCAATCTCGACTTATTTGAACTTCCTTCATTACCTGTGTCTAGCTCTTGACACAGCTGACAGTGAATTCACCACACTAAAGTTTAATACTTTCAATCTTCCTAAAGCCTGTCTGGACCTCCAGTGAAAAGCTGACTTTATAAATTCACAAGCCCCTGAGAAACCAAGTCACAGAAGCATGCAGTCTTTGTTATTTTGAAGATGGATACCTCTATGCCAAATCTCCTTTAGGGACCCCAAATCTCTCTCTTTAATCTATCTTGTTCTATAACGCTCTCTACAGAGACAAAAGAGAAATCTGAATAATGAACCTACTGAACCATGTCATGGTGAGACAGACGTAGAGAGATGCTGGCAATAAATCCTTAACAAGTGAAGTAGTTCACACACGGGATTTTTACACATCTGCAGTTCTATCATAAGTTATCCCTTCAACCGCAAAGTCAGAGGACCAGGAACAAGTGCATAGCTGGATGGGAGACCACACAGATGCTGTAGGAAATGCAGCCTCCTTGTTCCTGTTGATATTGAATCACTGCCCCTCTAGGATGGCAGAGAGCACAGCATTGCTCACACACAATGTTCTCTGAGCTACTTTCGAGAGAGAGCTGGGAGGAATCACTCACCTCCAAACACGTGTATTTATAATTTGAAGGGAACAAGTAATATTTGGTGTCAGACTTTCGCCTTGCTCACTAGAATGATTTACATCACCTCAGCATCCTTGGAAGGTTTTACTCCTTCCTTTACATGTTTCCAGTTCGTGTATTAACTCACGCTGTGTGCAAACACAAACCCTGTTCAAGGTAAAACATTCCAGGCTCTGGCTACAAAATGTACAGACAATTGTAGCAGGAGCAGAGGTGAGAAAAGGGAGCGCTCAAGTCTTGCCAAATACATAGTCCAGTAATTAAATTTTGCATGCTGCAAACTGCCACAAAGACTGAAGGTGGGTTTTCAGTACACGTTCTAAAATAGCACAACTCCTCTTGTGTACTGTGACCCTAGACTTGTCTGCATTTCACTGGCTATTGCACTCTCACAAATTTCTCAAATTCTGTATACTCCTTTCAGAACAAAGAATCTACACTGCTGTGATCATCATTCAAGTGTAGAGTGGTAGCTACAGTCACTAATTTGTTTTACACTGTAATATTGCCACCACAAAACTTAAAATGCCTCAGTTGTTTACCACATTCAGTCCCCACGTTTATTGATCATCCAGATATGATCAGATTTACTGCAACAAGGACTGGTTGATACTGCATCCTCTGGTGTGTGTTTTCTGTGGTACAAGACAATTATACTTGCTAGGAGAAGAGGATGAGCAACACTGGCAAGTCAGCTTACCACAACTTTGTTGAAGTCCTGGATGGCCAAGTAAAGGGCAACAGCAGTTAGCACATCAGTTATCTAAAAAAAGCAAGGCATAGACAGACTGACTGTAAGCATAATAAACAAATGCAGAAAAAGATATTGGACTGAACTGCAAGGCTGAATAAGGACTCTGATCTGACTCAGCTCATGAGAAGAAAAAACGAGCTTTAAAAACACTGGTGATTTGTACATTGTGCTCACACACACTGCTTAACCTTTGAAGCCATGAGAATTGGGAATTAAGGGGAAAGAAATTGTCCATGGAAAGAAGTAGGCGAGGGTAATAGAGAGAATCACTGGTCTAATTAGAGCGCAGGCAACACTGGGGCAGTGCCTATCTGCCTAAATCCACCTGTCCATTAATCCAGCATGACAGTGCCTTGAGCTCTCCCAAACTTACCAGGCAGCAGTACAGTCCTCTGAACAATCAGCACAAGCACAATGCAGACGGCCGTTAGCTCTGGATGAGACCCGCCCAGCAGGGATCTGGGGAGAGAGATGCTCCACCAGGTGCTATGTGCAGCCAGCTGTATGATTTCTGTCCTGATTTATGCAGAACTTGGAGAATAGTTTACAAGAGACATTTGGAGGACTAACCGATGTGTGCGCTCTGCAGGCCTGGGGTTTGGCAGTGGGTTTTAGTGAGAAACACTGCAATGTAGGGATTAGGCGGGGGGGACAAAATACGCTGACCTGTAAGAGGTAACCTTTGAAATCTGAAACCAAAGGCCAACTTCCCGTCCTTCTGTGGGTATAACTATCTAACCAAGAACTCACAAAAAAGAAGGAATATGTACAACAAGGGAAAAGCCCAAACGTGGGTTTGTACAGACAAAGCTGCCTTTCTAATTAAACCGTGAGCTCAGCCAGCATCTGAACTACAGGGAAGCCAAAGGTCCCTGATTCTCACAGCAGTAAAAGGAAAGTCATACTCAGCATTTCACAGAACGGGACCTTTCAAGAGCAGTTTTCCAGGAGTGCTTACCATGAACACCAATTCAGCGTACTCAATCAGGAAGTGAAACAGATATATTATCAGTGGGGTCTAAAAGAGAGCAGAAGGGAAACCCGTGTCAAATACTGTCCAGAAAAAACAACCGGTGATTTGATGAGAAAAATGAAGTAGTACTACGAGAGAGTGCAAAAGGTAATTTTCCTTAGCCTTTTCTACAACGCTGTTACTTCAGAGTAAAGTGATTAACCAAAGCACATTTACTGGTCTTTTTCCTTGCTAAGTTCTCAATGCACATCATAAAAGGCACCATCAACTTTGAAAATTATATTCTATTCCAACTTTTCAATTCTACTAGTATAGTGGTAGAGTTACAACAAAAAGCATATAAAGAACAGCTTTAGAAAATAATTTTTTCTAGACAATCTATTTTTGCAGGTTGTTTGCAGGTACTTTTGAAAGCATTTCCTACATAGCTGGTTTCACTGTTTAGCCTGTTGTGTAGATGAGTCTTTTATAAAGCAAAAAGAAGAAAGCATGTACAGTCCTATCATTCTCTTACTCCCACAGCTTTTCCCTTCTAGAGTAAGAGGAAGAGCATGTTTCTGAATTACTCCTATGACAGAAAAGCTTAATCTGGAAGTACTATGTTTACATGGTGTAAATTCAGTCTTCACTGTGAGAAAATACATTTCTTTTGAAATACTTCTAAAATAATGTCATTGTATATATAAGTGTGGGAAAATATTTCACAGTCTGCAAGAAAACTCTGTAAGAAAGAGAATCTATTGAAGAGAAACAAGTTTTCAGAGGTATACAAAGTATCTGCCTCACCCCTAGGTGACACTGTGTATGAGTGTACCTTCATATCAATAGGACCACTCAAGGGCACAAAATCCCACAGGAGCTTAAATGTTTGGAGGAACGAAATGTTTTCAAGATGAGGAATAAATGTACTGCATACTTGTGCCAATGTTCATATTTCTGCAGAAACTCAAGATGCTGCTATCCAGTAAAATTGTGTTCAGACTCACAATGACACTGTCTCTCCCTGCTCCAGCTTCTGCTGACAGAAACATCTGGATACGAACAGAGTATTTTCCTTATTACAGATTTCCCCTATTTCAGACTCTCCTCATGCAGTAACAAATATTACAATGTCTACCATCTGCACAGCAACAAGTTATTCTGTCATGAACTGTATTTCCTCATGGTGCTAGTCGCTACATATACGAGTATTGCACAGACAACTACACAACTCCAAGTTCTCTGAAGTCTTTGGGACAAGACTTTGACAGCCTCTGAGCAGTAAGACTAAGAAATGTGCCACTTGAATATCACATTTAAAATGAAGCATGCATACCGACCTCATGAAAAATAGCTCCAGAATATGGCGAGACCCCTAAATCCAGCAGGGCTAATCCTTCGACCACTGAAACATACAAAATGCCCACATTAGAATCCTGTAATGTGGGAAGAGAAAGATCTCATGATGGTAAAACTATAGTTTTTAAAACACCCACACTCATAAGAATCTCACATTGAATTGCCACCTGTGTGACACAAAACCTTACAAAGCCACCAATCAGCTAAAATTGACTGCTTGCTTACTTCTGCCATGCAAATTTCTTTAGTAACTGAATAGTCAGTCGTAATCTATTTATTTATTTCAGTTAAAAACATTACAGCTGAAATGTTTTGCACTGAATTATACATAAATCACATGTATGATATTCACTGATTTCAAGTCATCTATTAGGTGAAACATGGTATCTATGCTGGAAAAATACTTAATTCTAAGAGGACAAATCACGACATAATATAGAATTTGAACTATTTTGCCTAATTAGATGTAGAAAGACCTGAAACATCCAAACCCACAATAAAAGAGCAGAAATGAATACATACTACCAGGCAAAGCTAAAAGCTTTATCCCTTGTTGAAACTTCCTGACATTTTGCAGCCTTAATTCAGATCCTTCGCAATCGTGTAATTACAGCTTGCACTGCAATGTATGCACATGCTTTTTCATCCGATCTCCACGTTACTGAGCAGGGATCCACGTTCCCTGGGGACTGATCAGCATATGCAGTGAAAGAAGCGATGGGAAATGGCTGCATTTGTTCAGAGGGAAATGAGACAGGAGACTACAGGAAGCAACAAGAGGTTCTCAGTACAGCAATATAGTGGAGAAGTAGATTCTGTCTCTGCCGCAAAGTTCCTTTATGATGACAGCCCAGACTTTTCAAGGTGATCCTAACTGTGCTCCTTACTATCCAGATGCCTTCCTTGATGCTCTAAGGTAAGATTTAGAAAGTACCCGTTGCTGCAAGGCAATTTTGGGGAGCTGTATTTTGAAACAATGAAGTCTGAAGTGCTACACACTGTGCAGCAGAGGCCTCAGGTCATCAAATGCATTCATGCTTTTGACCTTTATTACTCTGTGCCACTGTTTTCCACCCAAACCTGCAAATAATTTTACCTGCATAACTACTGGATATTATTTTCCCAAAGGGCTGTCTTTAAAATAAATTAAGGTTCCTAATGGGCTCAGATGCTATAGAGATGAATGCCATCGAAACACCTTGATTAAACCATATCTCAGTCTTCAGAACAGAATTTGAATAACGTTGGTAACAACATGTGGGGTCACAAACTGAACAAGGAAAATGAAACGGTGAGTAGCTCTGCACGAACTGGGAACCATGCAGTCGTGTTCACCCCACAAGACAGTGCTTGTGCAGTTACAGCGTAATGAAAGCGACTCAAATCAAGGCTGTTGAGACTACGTATTCAGGGCCAGACTTCGTCATTCTTCCATTTTACGTAAATCTGCGACACAATCCGTTTGTACAAGTGCAACCAGGCCAGCTGCACACAATGGCTAAACCCCCGTCCTCCTGCTTTCGGTCCCGTGTTCCTCCCGTCCCCTTGCAGCTGCCGAACACCCGCGCTGCCCTCGGGGACAACTGCCGCGGAGCATTGCATGCAGTTTTTTTGTC